TAGAATATGGAAATCTCCTTGAAATTAACATAGAAGGATATTATCTCAAACAATTGTACTTATAATTACTGACAAACATATATATAATTGAGGTAAATCGTAATGCAATGCTTTATTTTATATTACAGCTATGAATGTAATTATGCAGTTAAAACGAATATTTATATTATAAATGACCCAACTAATGTTATGCTAATAATTAAAACACTTAAATTAATTTATTCAATAGAATTAGATTCCAGTAAAATAATAAAGCTTACTTTTACACATACTACTACACCATGAAATTGTCTATTCTTATCTTTACTAGGTGTGAACTACAACAGTAGTTGTTTCTATTGCTTTAAGTTCATACGCTGGAATATTATCGAAATAATTTTGCTTACGCTCGCGTTCACGTATTGTTTTAGCTAATCATTTAAAAAAAAGGTTCTAAAAATATCACAAAATTAACATTAATTGATGTTTGTTGTAGGGAAATAAATAATTATTTGAGCTCTCTTCGATAACGACGACCGAAAACAACTTCAAATTACAATAATTTAATCAAAAACTAGTGATATTGGTTCTTACCTATTCATTTTGATTTTCAAGAATTACTTATTAATTGGATATAATACTTAATAAGTAATTCTTGAAAAATTATACATGAGTCGATAATTGCAGAAACGTCACAAGTCGCATATTTTATGAAATTGAGATATTAGTAAAATATGGGACTTACGATGTTTCTGCAATCAGTAACTCGTATATGTAAAGTACAGACTAATAAGCTCATTGCATTTAATTGATAAAACCCTTTATACTTTTTAAGTATTATATTCAGTTAATGAGTATAAAGGTTTTTTTCAATTAAATGCAATGCGCTTATCACTCTGTACTTTACAAATACGAGTTGATGATTGCAGAAACATCGTGAGTTCCTATTTTACAAATATCTCAATTTCATAAAATATGTGACTTGTGACGTTTTTGCAATCATCGACTCATATATAATTTATCATCGTATTTCACGAATATCGAAAACCAAATAACTTATATATTAATCCTTATTCTTACTACAAATCTCTTATTTTGTTTATATTGGTTAACGGTTAACCTTTTCCCTGTCAAGCACATTTAAATTATTCACCACTGACAGGCCAAGCTTTTTTATTTTTGGAACTTTCATTTTTTTTATTCTATTTAAAGAATTCCCTAAATTAATGTAACTTCTTTGGTAAAAAATGATACCATGTTTTTTTACGTAGTTTAATTCGTCTTTGAAAATTCTACAATTTAGCAGTTATCATTTTTTTTGTCAGATTATCTGATAACAGTATAAACGAACGAACGCACGTATGCTTTAATGGCCTATCAATGTAGTTTGTCAATGACGCATATGTGCGTCAATTAGTGATGGTAAACTGCTATTTATTTTTATAACATCTGATAATATTTTAAATTAGCAGTGATAAATAGCAGCTATTGCTATTTTGTAGTAACAGCTGATAATATATTATTTAATGCTTATCATTAATTTTAAATTTGATATTTTAATAGCAGCTTATGTATATTATACCAAATAGCAGTCTAATAGATCATTATATTTAATCATAGAGTAATAGAGTTACTCTATGATTTATATATTGATATCTAATATCTGAGCATACGATAAGCGTCGATAATACGCGCATTATCAATTATCACATGTCACAGATATATAGTATAAACTTATTATATCTGTGAATTACGTCTTGCCAGCCACCCAGATGCTACTGCTATAGCTGCTACTGCTTTTTTTTTTCATATTATAATTTGTATTCTAATTTCTAATATAATGGCAGCTATAAAACAGTGTAAGAAACTAGGAAAGCCTAAAAACCAAAATTCAAAATTTAGCAATCACTGCTATTGTAAAATAGCAGTGCTATTATAACTGCTACTGCTATTTCTTACCATCACTAGCGTAAATGGCAGTGAAAGGATTAACGGGATTAAACAGATTTAATACAATCCGATCATCAATGAAGTGTTTTTTCGTTCCCAATGATTCATATGTTGAAAATTCTTGTTTATCAAACGGAGGGATACGAAAACCGTAGACAAAATAATGATTCATTCATCGCGTACAGTGGATTGAAATATGCTGTACCTACGTCTTCGGTTTCTTCATCTTGAAATACAATATTAACACTTTGTATTTGTCTTTTTATTAAATTTTATTTAAATTTAACACAACCAAAATAAATACTAGTTGCTCGGTCTTGTAAGACAATATTTCTCTCACACATTACTACGGTTGAACTAATGTAGACAGTTGGACGTTAAGTGGTGATGCCAAGACTTCAATCTAAAAGCACCAGTACACGTGGACACTTATTTTAACGAAGGCTTATATCACGACTACAATTTACTTGTACAGTTTTAAATAGGCATATCTGCACCCGTCCAAACAAATATAATTTAAAATATCTTAAAAAGTCGTATTCACAAAAAAATATACAAATATTAGTTGTTTTTCGAGTATAGGCTATACATTATATAATGATAATAATAATAATAAAATAAAAATAAATAATAATAATAATAAATAAATAAATAAAAAAAAAATAATAATAAATAATATTAACAATAATGTGTACACTATATTTCACATAGGAGGAGGGAAGTGGTGGTTAAAGGTACTGAACTCATAAAGGAAGTCAGTGGTACATGTCTGGATTAGAATACATTTATTGAAAAATTAATAATCTTTAATAAAAGTAATAATATCGGTATTTTTGAAATATCTGTTTAAAAAATAGTAATAAAATATGAAGCATACATATTATACCTTATATAAGGTATACTATGTTTATATACTATTCTATATATACACATATTGTGTATTTATATAGCCTATTTTAGTATAGTTTTGAATTATTAAAGCATTACTTTTATATTAATATTATATGGCTCTTACTCCTTTTTCCATTATTTAATATCACTGCCCTACTACATCAGTGCTTTTTGGTGTTTTTACACAAATTAATTATAAAAATAAGTTTTAGTAATTTATAATTATTTATATTATGCTTATTTTTAAAAATTCTACATTTATATTCTTGATTTAAGTTATTTATCATTTACATTTAGTACACCTAGAAGTAGACAGAGTGTACTAGTGTATCCTAATATACCTAGATAATTTGCCGAATTACCAAATTAAACTTTTTATAATACAGAAAAATACAAGGGCCAAATAATTCTAATTAAATTGAACTACATTTGTTTGAAATAATAATTATATATTTTTATAAATATATTTTAAATTAAAAAATAATTGGTTATGTATTATCAGTATACATTTTAAGCACCAGACAAAACAAAAGAGTTATTGATTTTTCAGCTAATATATTTTCCACGTTCTCTTTCGGTTAATACATTTTAGTGCGATACTTTATAGCTCTATAAAAAAGTTGGACATTTAATACAGTTTGTATTGATTTATATGAAAAATTCCATTCGAATTTTTCACAATTTTTCGGGAAAATCTAACAAATCTACCGTTAATAAAATAAGCAAAAATAGTAAGGGTTATTAAATAAAATTATATCTAGGTAGTTTTTTATCATAGGAATGAATTGAGCCCTAATCTAAGAATAGTAGATAGTTTTTTTAATGCAATAATATTCGTCACGTTTAAATTTAAATATAATGCATCAATACACGATTCATAATTCGACACACGTCAGCTGGTTCAACAACCTCTCACTTTCCAGGTCTTAGTATAATCTCTAACCAAATTTGGATATTAAGTAAATAAGTTCAAAAGATATCAGTAGGTATATAGTTTTTGTATAAAAAGAGAATTTGGGCCTCGCCATTTTCTTTCCACTATACAGTAGCGTAATATAACATTAAAGATTTTAATTATTCATACTAAATTACACCACTAGTGTTTCTGCTTACGTGTACGTTGTACCTACTATTTGTTTTCAACCCATATTTTGCTCTCGTTATATTGTAAAAATAATGAATAATAACGATGACGTAAAATATGACTTCATCCATATTATTATAATTTTTATTATTATTCTTATTATTATTATGATTATGAACCTACTCTTTCTTCTTTCCGTTCTATTTAGTATATATGTGTATAACCTATTCAACTCTAATTCGATTCCTGCAAAGTTCATTTTAATATCCAAGCTATAAATGATGTGTTTTATTCCTTATTTCATTACGTCAGTTTATTAATTCACTTGCAGCATTAAAACAAAAATATAACAACCGAATGAGCTAATTATAGTTAGACCGTTATCGATGGGAAAACATTTGGTAACTATCGAAAACCTTTTACTGCATCGAGGTAAGTTGAGCGAGACGAAATGACAACATATAAACCATGCGGTACCGACGACAGATATTATAAGTCCAGTCTCGTTTACAGCATTATTATTAGGTTTTGTTTTTTTTCACACGACCTTACACTTTTGTTTACTCAAAATCGTGTAGGTTTCCGAGTGCCGTAGGACGGTCGCATCACATGACGTTTGGTTTTCAATAACTTTACGTCTTTATCGTCAATTGGTATACGCGTATGGTACCCATGGACGTGGTTAGATTTTGTCCACAGTGACATTATGGCGAATGGCCAGCACAACCTAGTCGAGACGGAATTGTTATCAAAATTAAATCATAAGTTATAACATTTCTAAGGCATCATTAAGTCGACAGTTATAACTTATCTTGGTTTAACTAACGCGAGTTGATCGGTGCTTTTCGAAAACTGCAGCGTCAGGAAAGGTACCCTAGGCCACCGCCATGCGGACGCACTCATGTCCTGGTGCGTAGGTGCCGGGACGACGGTCGTAGAAAGGCCCCGTTGCCGAAAAATTACCGGGCACAGTATACATCCCCGATCCGGTTGCACTGCGTCGCGTGACTGTTTTGGCAACAGTGACCTACTGAGACTGGGTAACGGGTGAGCTCGGCGTTCGTCCGACCGGAACGAAACGTTTTGCACGACCAACTAACCTGCGGGGCTGGCAGTTGCCCAACTATAACCGCCGTGCTCCGTCGATGCGTCGTCCGCGATCGTTTCGTCACGTCGAATATTTCACGTCTGGCCGTTGTGAAACATTCCACTGCAGCTGTGTGATAACCAGTTCGATTTCTTTATTGTGCCCAGTGTTGTTGTTGTTGTTGTTGGTGTAGTACTGTTGTGGTAATATTATAGTCGTCGTTCGGTCCGTCAACAGCATCGTAACGTCATCGTGATATTGTCCATGCTGATTACGGTTCGGATTGATTGCGAAACAAGGAAAACTGTCGAAACGAAAAAACGCGAGAAAGAAAATTCGACTTTTCCGCCGTACGTGTACGTCGACCCGGGTTCACGGCTGCGAGCATCTTGAAATAGTGTTGGTGTCGCCCGTCGCCGCCGTTGACCTTTTGTAAACAAGGTACGTATCCGTTCCGTGTGTGATTTGCATTTTATTGACTTGCGTTGTTCGAAATGTCTCGCAGGTTCGCATCAGAGAAGTGCACAAAACGGTCGTCTGTTTCGCATTCGATATGACCAATCTGAACGAAATTGACACCGAAGACTGGAAAGACAAGTATAGAGCGCTGGAAAAAGAATATGACGACTTTCGAGAGCAGTCTCAATCGTTGGAACGCGAATTGGAAATGGACGTGGAATTACTGGAGAAAAACAATAAAGAGCTCAAATCAAAAAACAATCAGATACAGTTTGATCTGGAAACTCTAAGGACATGTTTACTCAAATCAGTGACCCAGTTACATAGGGAAAGTCCCGGTGCAGTAAATAAACAAGGCTCCTCCACTAATATTATCCTTATATGACGATACAAAGTATATACATCATATTGTTATTTTTTTTTTTTTTAATGTGAATACCTTTTTTGAAAAGATAAACGAATGTAAGTAATAGATAATTTATAGATGTACAAAGTAAAAAGGAAAATCTATTTTACTTTAATACTGATTGTATCTAGAATCACTACATATGATTTGGGAATTTACTTTTACATACATCAGCATTGTAATTTATTTTAAAGAATTATAGTCTCAGAAATGTTCGAGGCTCCATCACTTTACCCCACGATAGTTACACCACACTCGGATGCCTTTTGTTTGTTATAAATAGAAACTTTGAGTGTATGATTCTAAATTATTAAATTGTTGCTTTACTAACCATTCAAAGGTATGCTGTTTAATTTTCCTGTATTAATGAAATCGAAAAAATACTAAGGAATACTTTTTTTTTTATAATCAGCAGTAATCATAATAAATGTTTGTTATTCATAGACAAAAAATCGTGAAGAACAGCAAAATCTAATGAACCAAATACATAGTTTACAAGAAGAGGCTATCCATTTTCATGAAAGGGAATCCAATTATGTAAAATATATCAGGGAGTTGGAACAGAAAACTGAAGACTTAGAAAAGTTACAAAGGTTTGTTGGTTTAAATCAATAATTCCTATTGCATAATCAAAAAACTTCTAAATATATTTTAATATTTTTTAAAGTATAATGATAAAGATAAACTTTTTAAACAATTTGTATATTTTGTTCTATATTTAGTACTAATTTACCTTTAAAAATTTTCTTACAGAATTCATCAAATTTCAATCTGTAGAACAACTGCCAATAACTCCCATTTAGTACAACAATAAAAAACCATAAATATGATTTATTAATCATGAAATATTAGATTTCTCATGAAATACTACTTATAAACTGAATAAATTTATACTAAATAATGAACCATTAAATTGATTTATTTTATATTTCTAATTCTATTTTTTGTTAAGGAGATACATACCGGCACGCAACAAATTTAAGATTTTGTTTATGTTATTCTAATGACTTTTTATAAAAATAAAATTACCAATTACAATTATTTAAAATAATAATTTATTTTATTTAGTGGGTTATTTTTTTGTGCCAAAAATTATTATTTATTTTCATTTAAACTAATTTTTTTGAAGTAGTAAATTTTAAAAATTAACTAAATAGTAAATAGACTAAAAAAATATTTATTAATTGGCATAAACATTAAATATAATATGTATTTTAATTCATTAAATTCACAACTTATTTTTATTTAAAATACTCTTAATATTTCATGTTTTGATATTATATTCTAAATATTAGGATTTAGAATTTGTCTTTTTAAAATTAAGGCTAGTAGCAAGAACAATTTTGTATTTTATTATTTTTCTATACATTTCTCATAATTAAAATAGAATGATAATGTTATTATAATTTAATTAATATACTTAATTCTTTAATCAATGGTATATTTTTTAAATTATATTTAACAATCATTTTATTCAATAATATGTCTTAATACAAACATATTTAATTTAATTTTAAGTATAACAATCATTTTTAAAATTTTTATTTTAATTAGGTCAAATCGAAAACATATTTGTACTTTACATAGCAATGTGTAAAATTTTATATAAAGCATTTGTAGATTAATCAAAATCCTGACTACCCTGCTCATTTATTTTTATCTTACATTGTGATTGTTTTTTTTTTTTTTAATAATATTTTATTTTTGTAGTTATATTTTATATGTATTGACTTAAAATAAAAACGTATTAATATTTAAACTATTTACAATTTTATATTCACAGAGAAACATGTGCATCATTAGGAGATTTTGAAACTAAAATGAATGATGCAATTGAGCGAAATGCTCTTCTTGAAGTTGAACTTGATGAAAAAGAAAGTTTGCAAGCAATGGTTCAAAGGTTAAAAGATGAAATTAGTGGTAAGTAATGATATTACTGGAAATCATTTTTATTTTAATTCTTGAAATAATATGTTATACTTCTATTCTCAAGCAATACTATAATAATATATTAATATAATTTATTAATAGTACAATATTAACATAGTATGTTATACTTCTATTCTCAAGCATTAAAATAAAAATGATATCACAGTCAATTTTTTATGTTTTATGTTGAAAACATCTTTAGCTATACTTTTTTTTCTGATAAAAAAATAGAGCATTTTCATACTCTGCATGACTAGTATTCACATGACTAGTATATGTTTTTAATAATATCTCTATTTCATAAAATATGCGATTTATGAAATTTCTGTCGAATCATCGATTCACTTATAATTTATTAAAAATATAATTCATACCAAAAACTAATGTATGTTAATACCAATTATTACATACTATTCGAGTTTATGATTTAGAATTTCTAATAATCTAAATATAATACCTGTGATTTTATAACATATTACTTAATAATATTAATTTTAAACATTTACCTATAAATTATTTTATAGTAAAACCATGTTTGATCTAGTATAAACATTTTAATTTGGTAGATAATTTGTGCATATACATTGCTATAATTAAAAATTAATTTTTAGAAACCATGAATAACATTCTTTTGGTGTGCACTCAATATGTATATTGTAATTTGACTTATTATAAATTATAGCGTTTCGTTAATAATGATCCATGTATAATCAATTACACATTTGTCTTAATTTCATGTATAATAATTCTGCATACTTTTTTGTTAGAATTTCAAAATGTTTGTGTTTAAATCTAAAATTATTAAATTAATATTTTATTTATAAACAATTTTTTGAAATGTCAATGTATTTGTTGATATTTTTAGAACTAAAACAAGAAATTCAGAGTAAAGAACGGAAATTAAATCCTGATATGAATGAATCACAAGCTGCTGCTGCGGTCAGGCGGTGCAGTAGTTTCAGAGCTGCTGTTGATAATAGATTATCATCTTCAGCAGGAAACACACCAAAAACTCATACAAAAAGTATGCAAACTCTAAAACCTGTTTGTAAAATACTTATTTATGTTAACTATTTTTGTTGATGTACCCAGGTTTAAGTGGATCTGTTGTATTTCATTCACCACCTGCCAAATTAGCCAGGGTTGGCGATATTGTTGGAGATCTGATGAGAAAAGTAAATGTAAGTTTCTCAACAAATTGCTCAGTCAATACTCATCAGTATTAATTTAATATTTGTTCACAGGTTCTTGAACTCAAATTAGTAGAAGCCAAACAAATGAATGTGGCCAAAACACAAAATTGCCCTTTCTAACGAAACGCTTTATGGCAGATCACACAAGTGGTTGGCCTTCTGTAGCTGAACTCTGTATAATTTTCAAGCTGCTGCTGAGAACCCTAAGTCTTGTTTGTGTTTCGCTCTCTGAAATGTATTATCCTATTAACTTAGGACAGCTATTTCATTGGTTCACGTTGCTAAAATAAAAATTAATATTATTTCCCTGCTGCCTGATAAATGACACATTTGAAATATTAATTTTTCACAACACGAATACTATGTAAATTTGGTTTTTATTAATGTTTTTTTATTTTATTATAAATTATTTATATACATGATATAAGTACATAATTATATTACAAGGAGACTAATGTCAAACAAGTTATTAATTGTAAGTTTATTTTATTTACTTATAGATTAGTATAAAATAAATGCCCTAACAATGAGACATGGACCCTTTTTTTTTTTTGTAGAAAGACAGACAATAATGTTTGTACAAATCCTTACAATATTATGCACATATAAATTATTTTTAAATCACATATATTTATGTATAAAATAATTGTTTACCAAAATATATTTACCCAATAAAAAATGTATATAATAAAGGAAACAGACTGTGTAACTGAAAGCTGAATTGTACATTATTTTTTGTTTTTTTTTTTTTTCGCTACGTTTATACAATTTATAAAAGTGTTGACTAGACTAAATCGCTTAAAAATTAAAACAAATACAAAATTTAAATCCTTTCAATAACAAAAGGCACCCATGGAAGTGTCCATTGACTTTCAAGGTTGTGGTCATGCGAGGAACGTACGTCATTCGTGCCCAGAAGTTTGGGCTCGAAAGAAATTCAATCGGAATAAGCTACACCGCGAGTATTGGATGCACATAAGTCTGGCCGGGACAATACCCGTAGATGTGGACATTTGGAAACCGATTAACATTATTTAAAAACGGTCGTAATTAATGTTTGAAACCTTGACCGTAACACGATGGTAATAATATTGTCCGACGAGATACTCAACACGAATGTTTTACAATAAAAATGGTTAATTATAGTAGCGTAATGTATTAGTGTACTCGGTTAAAGTACGACGTTAGGGTTGCCGTACAAACTATGTACAAAAACGTCACATGGTATTATTATTATTATTTCCCGTGTAGCGGCGCGGGCCTTAGGAAGTCCGGCCGCGGGAACGATCAATTGTTATTAATAATATATAAAATTATATACACGCGGGGGTGGGGGTTAGAGGGCTTCGAGTGGTCACCGTTATTTTTTCCCGTCCGTCGGTGGCCGGTAATTATTGTTAAAAATGTTTTTAAATTTAAAATCGTTTTTTCACACGATAAAATTATCACAGACATACACACTGAACGTTTTATGGCACCGTTGAGAACGGCACTGGACGCGCTCTCGGAGGAACAAAAACCCTATCACAGGATCCATTCGAAGAACGAGTTGCCGAACCACACGGCGACCACGGGCAGCAGGTACGCGACCAGCGCCTTCTGCAGCGTCGGCTTGTTCGCCTTGTGGCCGCCACTGGTGTCCGTGCCCGCGGTGGTCTTGCCGCCGGACGTGTCCACGCGGTTGTCGTCCACCGTCTCGACGGTGCTCGGCGGCGGCGTTGTGGCCGACGACACGGTGGTCGTGGTGAACGATACGTGCGTGGGCCCGTCCACGGCCGCGGATGGCGACGTGGACTCCGAGTCCTCGTCGCCGGACCCGTCGCCCGAGGACGCTATTGGCCCGACGCCGCTGGACTCGCCGCCGTGAAACACCTCCTCCATGTCCCATTCCACGTCCAGTCCCTGGTACGCGTTTTTCAGCAGGTTCGTCAGCGCCTTCAGGGCGAACACCTGTTCGTTGAGCAGACTGCTCGGCCGCAACAGGTCCACGGGCACCTCGGGATTCCTTTTCTGGTTCTTAATGCCGTCCCTCATCACTTCTTTCGTGTAGCTGCGCGGGGAGAGAATGAAAAAAAAACCGATTAAAACAAGCCCGTGATGAGCAAACATTGATCGTCTTCAGCCCCTATTTTTTTTTAGTGACCCCCCACACAAAATGTGTGGTCCGGAACTGGAAACATGCACTACGGATTCGAGAAGTGTGAACCTACTAAATACTAATACCTAAGACTGCTTATGAATGTGTTTTTCTGGAAGCCATTTTCAGCATGGCAGCTGATGAGAACTTAAATACATCTGTTACATTTTAAGTTATGTATCCCACATTAATATAAATAATTTTTGAATATTTTCAGAATTATACCAGAAAAGTATATTTTTAGTTTGAAAAATAATAGCGCATTGGTAGTTACCTAATTATGATGTGCAATTTGATTAATAAAAAAGATCTACGACTAAAAATTATGACTGACGTTGTAATGACAATTATAATCATACGGTAAAGTGAGGCTCTGTATTATATCATTGTACATAAAAAAATGTGTAGTACAAATTTCGATGAAAAATAGGGGCTGGTCCAAACCGTCCCCTGTCTTCATACCGTTTACGAGAAAGACGCACGTAAAAATCCGCGATCGTTTAAAATTTTGAATTCTGTGACGAGTAATTCTATTTTATTTATCTAATCTACATTTTACAATATAATATACGTTTACGTTTACTCGATAAAATTCTGCGGTTAATAGTCGATGGTGTAGGCACGGAGAAAACGTTTTCCTCAAAACAAACAGAATACAGGTTAGTATGCGGTTCTAAAATGTACTTAGTACACATCCCAGAGTCTCCTCGCTATATTTTTGAACTTTTTGGCAAATCGTCCCTGAGATTCGCACCTTAATGTTACACCCCGGGGACCTGTAACCTAGACCCGCCGTACTGAACCTGTCTAGTTTTTTTTTCTTTTCGGGAAAATTTGTGGGCCATTAAAAAAGTATCTCGACATTTTCTCAGGATCAACTCCAACCGTTTTTCATCGGTAGATAGGCGACCCGATATGTTAGACATATATTATTATTATTATAATTATTAAACGAAAGAGAGAACAGGGGACGAGAGACTATTGTGTTCGAGACACACGGTGGAAAACACGTACCTGGCCAGAGCAGATCCGTTCCAGCAAGTGGTGTTCTGTCCGGTCTCGATCACGGCCACGTCGTTGTTGCACACTTCGTACGGCAGCCTTTTCCAAAAGTTTTTCGTCGACGCCACGTGCGTGCCGATGTCCTTGAGCAGCCGGTGAAACGCGTACGCAGGACCGCCTTGATCTTCTTCCTCGTCCTCGAGACCACCACCGCCGCCGCCACGGTTTTTGTTGTTCTTCTTTCGGTTCTTGCCGTTATTACCGCCTCCTGCCCTTCCGCTCTTCGGTCCGTTGTTATTGTTGTTGTTCTTATTTTTTCGCTGCTTCCTGCCACCCTCATCTGGCACGTTATCTTTTTTCTCGTTTTTCACCGCTGTCGGTTTCATTTCAACGTACTCGTCGTCATCGTCGTCGTCGTCGTCGTCGTCGTCGTCGAGGTTCTCGTCACCATCATTTTCTGCGTCCTTGTTCATGCCGTCGCTCATCACCCGTCCCTGCTGGAATTCGTAATAATCGTCGTCAGCGTTCCGGCGACGTCGGCGTCGGCGCGTCGATCCCAGTGTCGGTTTACCGCAGTTGGAGAACACCTGCGCGCGAAAACAATACACTGTGCGTTACTATACTGCACGGACGGTGGTGAGGAAAAAAGGTAACGTCTCTTCAGTCCCGCTCGAGGAAAATATCATTTTAAATGAGCTTGTGAAGAGCAGGAATTGAGTACACGACGTACGTACGTCTTACATACAACTAATAGCCCAAATCAAAATGTGTGGGTACGCGGTGACTCGCGGATTGCAGGGACGAAAACACATAGCTTGTACGCGCATATGACCGGGAAGACGTTTAAACCGGGGGTTAGCATGCGCTAGATAATGATAAATACTTTCTCCCTACGATGGGGTAAGGGATTATGTGCACGGGGGTGATAAATGCTCAGTAGTAGTACATGGATACAGTTGAAATCGGATACATTTGTATAGCTACCTATTTGGTTACTCAATGCGTATCTAAGTGTTTCTATACGTTTGACATGAGAATAAGAGAACATAGAGGATATTTGTTCGGTGGGCGATAAGAGTTGAGTTTGTTACTTCTATAGAAATCTCGGTGTACGCGCGCCATTGCTGGATCAGGGTGAAAAATTAGAATGGCGTCGCTGAGTTGTAAGACCAAAGTATGTAATATACGACACGAAATGTTTTCTAGCATTACCTTTTGTGACACTCTCTGAGCGTTCTCCTGGAAATTCATTATGCCTTCGGATATCTTCACGTTGATCGGTATGACGACCAGTTCGATGTTGAACGGACCCAGCAGACGTTTTTTCACTTTTTCCATGATATCTGTGCAAACCGAAACCAGTGGATAGTAGTATTATGTACGATTGTTATGAAAATATCAAATACGGAATAATAAACAATGCGTGCGTATGGTAGACTCACCCAAAAACGCATTCCAGTCCTGGTCGAGTTGCGAGTGATACGCCAGACATCCTTTCATGACGTTCAGACAATACCCGTTGCACGCTTTGCTGTCTTGCAGCCCTTTGCAAACCGGGCACTGGGTCATCCGGGTAAAACCAACCAAACACTCTTGGGTAGGCATCATCTGCAGCAACAGCGGATTCATAGTATAATAAAAGTAAGGGATAAAATGATGTCAGTGTACACTGATGTTTCACTGAAGTAGACATACGTACATACAATCGAACGTAAACATATTTATAAACGCACGCACACGTATGTTTGTACAGACGACAGCCATTGTGCGATGTATAATTAATTATAATTATAAACGCGCGGTATTGTTTGCGCATTCATATATATACGTGCAAAAGGCTGAGGTTTAATTAACGGATATTTATATTTAAATGAATGCGATTAAAACACGTGTAATACGAACCTTGTTGATGTTGGCCAAAATATCGCCGGCTATTTTCAGCGCCTGCACGTACGTTCTGGAAGCGACAAATGATCTTTTCAACGGCGACGACAGTTTGACGGGCACGTCGCCAAAAGGTGCCACCTCCGACATGCTCTCGCTGACGCACACCATGTACCTGCGGAAGGGACGCAACAATTGGTATTGTTAATTATGTATGTATCGATCGAAGACAGACTATTCTTAAATCGACGATTATTCGCAAATAGACGCGGTGGCGTTGCGAACTACTATTATTTCGACCATGAAAATGCACGGATTCCAAAACAACCCTGTAGCGTCACGATAAAGTCGGTACGTCTGTACGTATATACCCTTAAACGTCTACATTTTGTAACGTCACGTGATTAATGTGTGGATCAATGTTCGTAGAAAAAAAAAATCCTCGTTCGCGGCAAAACGTTTTATAAACGCCGAACGGACGAGAGTAATCATATAAATAAACACACATATACTAGTAAATTTATGTACGAATTTGATAACGATTTAGAGATCGAAACGGTGTGCAAATGAATTTGAACGAAACGCACGAACTCTGGAAATCTATAAATCGCGAAGACGTGTTGGAAATCGCGTTTTACGAGAAGTCAGCCGCGAAAAAGGATTTTGGTTCGTTCAGAGGGAGAAAAACTTTTCGGGCGTGTCATTGATGCGCGTACATTTCATATATTAATATGTTTAACGTGAGATACAAAAATTGTAAATACTATGCTCGGGAAAATATATGATTGCGGAAAAGTCGTGCGAGCGGAAAAAGCGAATTTCACCAGTATGTAATGCAAACGTGTATAAAAACGGATTTGAAAATACTTTTCGTCTGTCACTCACTTGGTGTCGAATGTGAATTGACTGTTCATGACGGTGAACATTTTCTGGCACAGAACGGAGAAAAAGTTTTCCAGCACTTCGATAATGTTCGTGTTGCCCGTGTCGTAATACTTCTCCAGGTCGCGGAACAGATTCTCGAACAGGTACGAGTTCTGCTCGTACATCATCCCGTACGTTTTCTTGAACATGTCGTGGAAGCCCAATCTTGCTTTTTTCAACATGTCTCTGAAGTAGTCTACACGTGCAAACGGTGTAAATCGTTATTATTCGTTATACACATTTTCGAACGGGTCCAACCGCTCACTTTACAAGTAGGTACGCGTATCATAAATGTATACATTAAGCCAATGATACGGTGAAACAATCGAGTACACGTAGAAAGAAAAAAACTATAGTAATTATGATAATAATGTATACTTGATTTAACAAAGGAAAAAAGATGGATCATTATTTTGCAATTCGCGTTAAACGGATCATAGGGAAATACTCGAGACATAGCTGTTATAGCAGATTAGATAGTTCGAGGATGATTGAGGTGTAAAGAAGGAAACTAACAGATAAATCGTAGCGGGAAGACTGAAATCGATAAGGGAAAGGAGCCGAGGACAGGCAATTATACCAGAGGGAAGATTATGAAGGAAAGTATAAATTGACGGTACGGTCTGAAAGGTCGGATAAGTTCGTTGCCAAGAGGATTAGGAAGTAGTCATAAGGTGGGAGTTTAGTATATTATATAGGTTTAAATGCTATTTATAGATGTATATAAGAACAAACTAGTGTTATACATTGCATTTTGCTACAATGTTTCGGATAAAAGGGAAATAAGTAAAAGAAGAAAATACATAGCGTAATGGGGTTCGCGTTCAAACCCGATAAAATTCGAATAAAAGTACACGCGTATCACGATCGAAACCACGATTTGTGTACTTGAGAACGAGGTGAGGGATCATAGAAATAAAAAATTACCGTCAAATTTTACAGCTTTTTCCTTGTACATGACGCTCAGCGTTTTCAACGAAGTCTGCAACTTATCGTCGTACAGATTTCTGCCCACGGTCACCAATTGTGGTTCGGAGTTCTCGCCGCAACACGTTTCTTGCGATTTTCCACACACTTGTAACAGCACACCTGAAGAAAAATTAAAAAAAAAGGTCGTTAGCGAAAAATTACGAAATAACAACAAAAATACACGTGTACACGAGTATGCGATATTCGTACCACGGCCGAATTTACAACCTGCGAAGAAGACCCATTTTTGGACGTGAGTAATAAATGGAACCGTCGACACGAATCATTTATTATTATTATAACTATTATACAATAACACTACGATGCAATTACATAATAATATTATAAATGTGTGAATATATATATGTATGTGTGCGTGTGTAGAATCAACCATACGGTGAACTTGTTAATATAATTGATGCTCACACGTATAAAATATTATATTGAGCCATCAAAATTCATTAAAGGGCGTCAACGGAAATGCGGACTCAGCGCAAGTCCATAGAAACTCAACAATTATTATGAATGAAAAGAGTACTCTACACTGGATTCCCCTAAACGCTTCCGAGGTCGCGTTTATTGTGTATTAAATCGTACGTATTAGCTCGAGTACATTAAATCTTATATAAGGCTAATCGTTTCGGAGGAAAAAACAAGTCAATTAGGTATACACGTTGGAAATTAGTCCATCGTGTTCAAGATTCTCCTTTGTCACGGTCAATTTAAAGGAAATAAAAACATAAAAAACTGATTCGTCAACAGTTCGTATACCTACATATATATATATATATATATATATATATAAACATATTATATTACGCCGAACACGGAACGTGTTGATTTGGAAAAAAAAAAGATTCGTTCATTCATAGATTGTAATGGGTTTTTAAATGTTTCCTTTTTAGAACATAATATTTTGGTGGCAGCATAGGCGTATAAATAATGGAACCGTTTTTATCCGTTTTTTTTTCCATTCCGATTTCGTAACACGCTGTTCATAAACGATTTCGAAGATCCCGTACAATAATATATAAATTATCTTTCGTCTATTATGTCTAGACCACGGGTCGTCCAACGGCGCAATTCATTATAATACATCTCAGAAGTAGACGACGATGACATCGTCGGCAGAGCGCGATATTTTTACGTATTCAAATGTAGTATACAGCGAGTAGTTTACTCAATGCGGTTTCGGGTAGGATGTCTTTTTAATTACACACGACGACGAAATTACGAAATGTGCGTAACCGGCTGGGATAAAGGTATATTCGTTTTCGACATAAAGAAATCGGTCCGGGAATAGGGAACACCCATCTGTCCCCTCGTACTACAATCGGCTTGTGTGCAATAATAACACGAGGCTATTATTTTTTATCGAATACATTGTACGTACAAACAGCGGTCGGCTGTTTTCGCTAATCACCGCTTGCATTTTTAAACGCGTTCAAAAGCACCGTTGCGTTTTGCAATAGGTACCATAACACAATGGTGTGGCGAAAAGAAAACCTACGAGACTCATCTCTGCAGTCCCGTTTGCGTACGACCCGAAGGGGTTAATGCACTTCTATATCATATTTTCCATTCGTTTCCCTCCCCCTCGCCGCGATTGAAAGTTGATTAATCATCGTCGCCGAGAACGTTTTCGAAATTATTTAATAATACTGTACACACCGCGCGGTTCATTCACCACCACAATGCATTACGTCAAAACGAATGTAGTTTTTATACTTCCGTCTATATACACATAAATCATACATAGGCCAGCGCGAGATACTTCGTTACGACCGTGCACAAAACACGCGTTGTGATTAATATTTTACCGAGGAGCATCCTAAACTGATGATTTATCGTTTTACAAAAGTGATGTTAGACTCCTTCAGCAGCTCCTACATGAAAAACTCGACACGCGCGTGGAAAACCATTCGTTTGAGTACGTCTCGATGTCGTCGGAGGAAAGCCTCCGACGACATCGGAAATAAGACGAAGAATAAAGCTCGGTACGATATACGGGTACGGAGTACGGTGTACGGATGTGGTGTAGTAGTGTAGTCGGCGTCGTTTTTCTCACCGTCCGTCCGCGGAGCACATTTTATTATAATAATATTATAATGCCATTAAACGACAATATAGTAGTAAACGAAACAGGAGATCCGAAAAAAAAAAAAAAGAATGAAAAAGGAGAATTTACGATCTTCAAGCCCGCATATCACGCTGCGTTTACGACCCGTACGGCCGTGCGCGTATGAGAACTGAGCGGCTAATGGGTTTCAATTGCACTCGCGTCGTTCGATAAAAACGCATCAACACCGTCAACGCCGCCAAACAGGAAGCCGGTCAATTTGTTTACACGAGTACACGTGCGTTTCGAGACGCGTTTTTCGTCGGAATCCGTTTTATTAAAATATATTATTTTATCCTTTTTTTCACGCCGTCCTCGTGGTCAATGATCCCGGTTTCTCACTCCGGACCGCTCGTCCACCGTATTTTTCTCCTCGCTTTTTCCGCGTCCGCCCCGACGGGACCGGTGCCACGCGCGCGTTTATCTATATTTTTCTTTCTACGCGCGCACTAATGACCCACCCGCCGCCGACAGTGTATACTTACATACACACATACATATATATGTACTCGTAGTGCATTATAAAATACGTTTACCGTTGATTCGTGACAATGTGTTTCGACCACACAGGTCGCGCACCGGTACAACGCGCAGGCATATTTTATATTGTACGACGAAAATATATACGCATCGCGTTATTACGAGGTGTATTTATAATGAACACGGGCGCGCGCGCGCGCGCGCGCGCATTGTCGGTCGGGTAATGAAATAATAATTATACCGGGTGCGCGCGTAATACCCACAGACGGATCGCGACCCGAGACGACGACGAGCGAGCGCGTGTGTACCGTCCTCGACGTGGCATTATATCGCGAACGGCTTGCCGTGGGTGGCCGAAGGAACCGGAAAAAAAAAAAAAAAAACTAAAAACTAAATTATAACTATTGGCCGAACGCATAATTGCCACCTACCTATACGTTTTTTAACGTTACCATTTTCCGTCACTCCTTCATTATTTTTTTGGCTAATATCGGCCGGCCGGTCGAAGAGGAAAAAATCCGCTGCCTCCGGGTGAGTCATGATACGTAATATCACATACCATTACACTATACGATATATTTCCCAGTCCTTCGTTTGCCTCCATTCGTTTTATTTCTCTTCTGCGAGGCACGAGTACTATCCCTCTCTCCTTCACGCACAGTCGTATCCCCCGAGGCGTGTCGTATAGGCGGTAGTAATACCGGGTTACTTACCCTCGTGAGTTTTTTATTTTATTTTATTTTTTTTTTTTTTGTTGTTTTTTCGACGAAAAAGAGGACTTGACGACCACGTTGCAGTGCGAAAAGTATGCGTACGCGTGTAAACGGCAAGCACGAGAGATTTTAGTGCGCGTTTGAAAGTGTGTGTACTTTAACGGTCCACGGATCCTGCTGACGCGATTTCGTTACGAAAGCACTACCGCAGGCTTTTACCGGAAATCACTCGATAGTATTGTATAAAAAAGTGTTCACCGTTCGTAAAGTTCCGTTTCTTTTATTCGGCCGATTCCTTCCCATTTTCCGAGCCGTAAATCCCTGCCTATTCGTAATAATTATCATCTTTTTACTTTACATACACCCGTGGTGTTCTCCAAGATGGTTTATTATCATCTTTAATTCTGTACAACACATATGCAGCAGACCAACCAACATTCAACCACACTTTCGTAGATGAGTTCGCAGATGAAAAACGATTATGGAATATTAACGATATGGAAGCATGGTACTCAAAATGGAAGATTAAAATTAACAATGAAAAACGCTCTCGTATGACTTTTACGTTAAAAAAAGGCACTGTCACTCTGATCTCACTATCCAACGAAACTCGTTTGCGGTAAGCGTTTGGAACATTCTTCACGAACGCGTAACGTAATTATTTATGCCAAAGAATAAACAGTAGTACTGTGTTTATCAATACATGTGTAAATATAGTTTTTTCGCATTCCAGTGAATTATGCTGCGGACGTTTGAGATGTTTAACACATTCATACTACGAGAACATACGTAGTACATAGGTATATGCGCATAGAACACTAGAGTACGTTTTTGCGCGTCGGGACATTTTTCTGAACATACGAGTATTTCAAACAATAATAATACGTTTTTATTAAAATGATCACGGCGATGAGCCTTAAAGGCCTATAAAAGCCCAGAAAGAAAGAAGAAATAATACGTTTTACTCTGCGAAAGTGAAGACCTAAGTATATTGATAGTTTTCGATGTTTGTCCGTGGGTTTCGATATATTCGAGTATCAATATTATTAAACACGTATAATACGTATAACTGGTACGCGAAAACAAAATCTGGAAAAATTGGCTACGCAGTGTAAGTTATCCTCTCTGAATAGCGATTAGGAAATAATATACGTACATGCCGATATCTCAATTAAACGCATAGATAGACGTATATAATTTTGCAGGGATTTTTCGTCACGAAAAAACTGTTATACTCGTATCTAATTATACGTCTATGTATATTATATCATATAATTTAATTTCAGCTACATACTGTTCCGATATTCTCAATTTAATGTTTGGTTTCGGTAAAATCGGTAATTTATTATCATTACTTAAGATTATAATAAACGGGTATTAACAATAATAACAATAATTGTACTTTAAATTGCATTATTTAACATTATGCGCATTCATAGAGTCGATTAATCATCGTAGGCATGATTAACACAACTGAAATATTAAACGAATATACATAATTACCAAACATGACCGAGCTATTAGAGCGCTGCAGGTCTACAACATTTTATATTATTATTATCGAGTAACATAATACACTCTGCACACGAGCGTACAGAACATTAATAATCGCGTTTCGTTCGAATGTTCTCTGACGGTCAAATTACTTGTGCATTTGTATATTTAATTTTATTCACTTAATCTCACCGAGCTATGTGTGTGTGACTAATATAATAATTGTTAAAAATAGTATTCGCCTTTATGTACGCGGTTAATCTGCTGCAACTGTTTAGTCGGTTTCAATTGTTATTAATGATCTACGAGTAATG